GTTTCTTTAGATACTATTTTAGATATTATTTTTAATTTTAGTGCTAAATGATACTTGAACAGCTCTGGCTGCTTATTAATAAACGATGGGTATTTTTTAACTTAAATTAAACTACACTGTAAACTGCCTTAAACTTGGATTCAGTTTCTTTAGATACTATTTTAGATGTTATTTTTAATTTTAGTGCTAAATGATACCTGAACTTCTCTGGCTGCTTATCAGTAAAAGATGGGTATTTTTTATCTTACTGTGCCCATAAATTAAACTACACTGTAAACTGCACTACACCTGGATTTGGTTTCTTTAGATACTATTTTAGATATTATAGATATTTAGATATTATTTTGAATTTCAGTGCTAAATAAGCTGAAATGTGCTGCATGTTCAGGCCACTGGAGCCGACCAATCACAGCAGAGGATTTTGTAATGGGGAAAACGGAGATCTCTGCCTTTGTTTACCTCACATGAAACTACCTTATGCTGCTTTCATGTTGGAGTGGGTCCTAATTACCAAAAGCTCTTCCAGAGAAAAGTGTTTTCTGGTCCACGGTGTGAGACGCGTGTCAGTGCACGTAGTGCACGTGAAGCCCCCTTTGATGTGTTGATGTGTGAAATGTTGATGTGGTTCTTTACTTCTGTGAGTCACAAATGTGTTCAAGAAACCCGAACGTCTCCGTCTGGAGTCGGATTTTTGTGCGATCGGATTTTCTTTGATGCGTGTTTGAGTTATTAAGTGAAGCAAAGAAGGAAGTGTGTGTGGTTTGTGTGGTTTGTGTGGTCTGTTTGTGTGTGTGTGTGTGTGTGTGTGTGTGCGCTCAGCAGGATCAAAAGGTTGGTCCCCAGAAAGCATGGCCTAGTCATGTGTCCCCACAATATACTAAAGACAAGGATGTGTGTGTGTGTGTGTGTGTGTGTGTATGCGTGTGTATATGCGTGTGTGTCTTTGTGTGCGTGATTGTGTGTGTATGTCTGTGTGTGTGTGTGTGTGTGTGTGTGCGTCTCTGTGTGAGTGTGTGTGTGTTAGTCTGTGTGTGTGTGTGTGTTTGTGCCTGTGTGTGTGTGTGCGTGTGTCTGTGTGTCTTTACGTGTGTGTGTATGTCTGTGTGTGCATGCGTCTGTGTGT